CAGACTCCTCTCCGCTGAAACAGAAGGAGATGGAGCTGCCCGGGTTCGTTAGAGACACCATCAAAACCTCCTCCTCTTTTGTTTCTGAGTTTTCAGAGTTTCATTTACTGCTTGTTAAATTCCAAACATTCAAAATGTTGGACTCCAAACATACATTTGAGCATTCTAGGAAATGCATTGTTTTGTCAGGCATCTCAAAGGGACGCTGTCAAATGAACAGAGACCTGGCATTTCCTTACCTTGACTATAACACCACTAAATGGTACTAAAATATGCACAGATTTTGTTTGTGGTACATTTCAAAAAAAAAATTGATGTACAATTTTGCCTGAACATCTGTTGGAAAAATTAAAACCCCCATATGGGTGTGTTCATATCAGACTACAGCTTTTGTTGACAGTGTGAAATTTTCTCTCTGCTGTGTTTTGAGGTATTCTGTTCACAGTGCTTCGTAATAAATATCCACATGGAGACAGTTTTCTTTTCCTACATGCTGTACACTTAAGGCTGCTTTCCCACAATATGATTCTGTCACTTTCATTTACATTATTTGTTATTGGTGTTTGAATTCTCACTGAACAGGCAAAAAAAAAAAGAAAAGAAATGTTTTTGATCATCATTGATTGAAGGGGATGAGTTTTCCTAATTCCATTTCTGTTTTCTCTACTATTTGTAGATTAATAGGAAAGTCATTGAATCATATAGCCAAAAAAGTTATGCACCCAGAACTTGCTTTCTTAAGATGTTTTGATCTAGTGGTCATCCTTTCCCTTCAGTCAGCAGACCCATGTTTCATTATTTTCTGAGAAGCAGGGTAGTTGTGGTTTAGGAAATAGATAAAATGGATTTTTGTCCCATTTCTACCAAACATTGGTATGACCTTGGGTAGGTCATCTGTAAAATAGAGAATTGGACTAGATGAGGCTGATATCCCTTCCATCTCTAATGTTCAATGATTTTTTCCAGTATTTTAAAAGCAAAAGTATACCTGTAAAAAGAATGTTCTGTTTTTCTCAGAAGGTGAGTTCTGTATTTTACATGGTTAGCTCTCAGGTATGGGTGCTCATTCAGTACTTTATCAGCTGGAGCGTATGGGGTATTCAGGGGAGTCGAGCACCTCTGGTGCTGAACCCTTTTCAGGGCTGCTTGTCCACCTGTGATGTTCACCTGTCACCCAACTCTCACCTGGGGCTCCACGAAGCTATGGCGTGGGTAGTAGCCACACCCTGGTAAAACTGTTTCAGCAGATGGGCTAAACCAGATTGAGGGTAACTGATAGGCCTCACATCTGTCAGTGAGTTAAGGGGATGTCTACCCCAAGCATGCAAAGACTTCCTTCAGCAGAATGGGTGGATGAGGACAATTGGTTCCAACAGCCATGAAGGCAGCTGAAACAGGTGCTGTGAGCCACTTAGAGCTTGGTCAGATGTCGAAGACACAAAAGTCATCCGCTGCATCCTGGGCCGTCACCAGTCACCTTTTGTCTTGCCGCTGGGACGTCGTTGACTGTGGAAGGGAGAGTGAGGCTGATAACTGTGCAACTCTGCCTCACTTAAATCTAATTCACAGCGAAAGTCAAGACATCACCCTGTGATATAATTGGTCGTCTTAAAAAACAAAGAATAAACAACAACAACTTCATTAGCTAATCAGTTTCCTTTATGTCTGTGGTGCAAAGGACATCAGGAATCATCAAGGTTACGACATTAAGTCATAATGGATAAGTAGTGTCATAGAAATTTAAGGTCGGATGGATTCTAAAATTAAGCTGGAAAGGAACCTTAGATAGTCTAATCCTTTCCTTTGTGAAATGAGGACATAGGCATAGAGGGGGTGAAGTGAAGCCCAAGCTCGTCCAGGTGGCAGGTACAGGGCTAGATTCTAAGGGTTTCCATGACACCATCAATACCCTCTGCCTTCTGGAGTTATCAGTAAATGCTGGATGCTAGTCAGTCCTAGAAATAGAGCCTATGATAAGAGTCAAATGGCAGTGGACTTTTTTTTCCCACTTATTAAAGTAAGTGAACAATACTTATTTTAGTATTAGCGAGTGTTGCTTGAACTTGTGCAAAGAAAGATTTTCTAAATGATTTTGAGTCCGATGAACTTTCAGTGCCATAGTGTCAGGACTCAGACCTTTGCTGTACTTGGGTGCATGGCACAAGTAGATAGACATTCTCTGTGTTTACTTTGCTTATGGCGTCCCTTGTGACAGTTGTAAGGCTGTGAGCTCCTATTTCTCAGGTTTAATCTCCAGAGATCACTGAACAAAGTTATCTCAGTTGCATCTCTTGCAGAGACTTGTATGAGCTTAACATAGCCTTGAGGAACGCATTGCATGAGGACATTCCCCTTTGCCTCCACTGAGAGACAGCATACCTTAGTGGATAGAGCACTAGATTTGGAGTCAGGAACACCTGGGTTCAAATCCTGCCTCAGATTCTTAATAGCTGTGTGACCCTGGGTAAATCACTTAACTTTATTTCCTTGTCTCAGTTTTCTCATCTGTAAAATGAAAGGGTTGTACTCGATAACTTCTGATGCTCCTTCATGGTTGAAATCTATGATCCAATGAGTTAAAGGCTTTTTAAAAAAAAAAGACCAGAAACAGAAAACCCAGTAGGATCGCATATTTTCTATGCCTCTCAGTTAACTTTGTGACAGTGAAGATGCAATCAGCTTTATAAAATTATCTGTTAATGCCTACTTGTTCTTGTCTTATGTTTTCATAAAGGATACCCTCAACATGAAAATAAACCATTGTCTTAAAATGTTTATAGAGTTGAGAAAATAAGACTGTGAATTGATATTAGCTAATGGCTTCCTAGTCACACTTTTTTTGGGGGTGGGTGGGAATAAATAGTCGTCTTTAGCTGTCTTTCCCTATTAGAGGTAGCTTACATTTTTGACTATTTCCCATAGTCCCTGAGCCAGGTTTGGAGTCTAAGTTTGGTAGTTCCACTGTTGTTGAGGATAAGAACAGATCTCTCTAGAAATACTGGCAGGGCTGTGTCATTTTCTATCCAATGTGCTCCTTCCAGTATCAGCCATAAATGCTCTCATTCTGATCTTGTTTGGCCAGATAGCTGGTAAACTTTCTCCAGGCTTGTTTTCTTTTCTCTGTTTTTCAATGGTTTGCTCTTAATCTTCAGTCATCCCAGTCTCCAATTGTTTGCATATGAGCTTATAATATAAAGTAATGTCACCCATGCCTCTTCATTTTGCAGAGCAATCAAGTATTTGTTTACCGAGGCACTTTATTGGCTCTTTTGGTCTCCTGCTTGTGGGAGCTCTTTTCTCTCAGTTGGGCTTTTTAATTAATTAATCAGCAAACATTTATTAAGACCTACTATGTGCCAGGCACTCTTTTAGGCCTTGAGAATACAAGTGCAAAGAATGAAATTATCTCTACTTGCAGTGAGCTGCTTCTTTCCATGCTGGAGCCATTGGATCTTCTGATTAAACCATCTCAGCACCAGGGGACTTGCAGAGAAAGTCTTCCCTATCACCACCTAAGGGCCGGAATGAGGCTGGGTGTGGCCCAACAGAGAGCCTTGACCAATCAGACGGAATATGACGAAAGTCTCCGTTGGTTTGTGAGGAATCGTGAGGGTGGATGGACAGGACACAATAACCTGCCCTGGATCGGTGCCCTACGTAGTGAACAAGACTGAGGACTCTTAAGTGCCTTCTGGGCTTCGCGTTTTGGCCTGAGCCAGATTTCGTGGCTTTTCAGGCCTTAAATGCTGTTTGCAGTGTAACTGGTTATTTGTAGATTGGAGCCAGTTGTTCTCACAGTTCTGTGGTGGGGGGAAGGGAAATAAGCCATTTATATAACACCTGCTATGTGCCAGCCATCATGCTAAGTGCTTTATTATATTATCTTATTTGATCGTTACAATAACCCTGTGAGGTGGGTGCTGCTGTTACCCCCGTTTTACATTTGAGGAAACTGAGGCAGACAGATAACTGAATTGCCCAGTCACCCAGCTCGTAAGTGTCTGAGACGGGATTTGAACTTAGGTCTTCCTGACTCCAAGCCCAGAGCGCTATCCATGCTCCGCCTAGCTCCTGTGATCCCAGGAGCCCCCTGTTGGGGGCCAGCAGGACCCACGAATCTCTCCCACTGCCCCTGCAATGTCTTAGGAATTTAGATAATAATGTGGTGCTTATAATTAAGGAGAACACAAGGCTATAGCTAGGGTTTGAGAGTGAGAGAGAAGCTTGTCCTTCCCAGGGGCAGGGGAAGAGGAGACTAAGAGGGGGGAGGAGAGATGTAGCCAGATGAGTCCCTTTCCAGAATGATTGACTAAGTGGATTTGTTCGAGAGACAGAATTAAAATCCAAGGCAATCTGCTAGAAAACAGAACAAAACATAGTATGCTTTTCACAGAAAAATGGACCACTTTGTTAAACTTGAGCTTCTTCCAAGGTTAGCAAAAGGTCTTATTCTGCCCTGGCTGATGCTAATCACTGAGTGATTCCAGGGTGGTCCAACTTCACAGGTTCCCAACTGGAGTATGTATAGCCCTGGTGGGTATGAGTAGCTTGCCAAGGTGTTGTAGGGAACACTTGGGAGGTAACTATATTATCCTGTTGAAATAGTCCAAAAGTATTAGTGTCAATTAAAAAAATTGCAAGTTCAAGTTTTCTTTGTGAAAAATTAGTCTTCGTTTTATTTCTCACTTGCATATCAGTCGGCAAGTGTTTCCTCTGCACCAGGCACTGTGTTGGTTCACATATACATGGTAAACTCTAGAATGTATGTCCTATCGTATTGAATAAGGAATACATTATTGATTGATCAATACAGAACAAATTTACTGAAAGCCAGGAGGTAGAGGGGCTGAAAAAAGTCAAGAATCCTTGCTCTCCTGTCTCTGGATGATTCATCTACCCGACCTCAATCTCAGGTCTGCATACCAGATTTCCACCTTATTGAATTTTTAAAAAGTGACAGTTGTTTTTCAAACAAAACTTTCTTTTATTGTTATTTACAGATATCGATGATGTGCGGAAGCAAAAACCAAATTACCTTGAGGCAACACTTGACTGGTTCCGATTATACAAAGTGCCTGATGGAAAACCAGAAAATAAATTTGCTTTTAATGGAGAGTTTAAAGACAAGGTAAAGATGGCATACATTTTGACATGCTTTTCATAATGCATCTTACTGACGGCAGCTTCTTAAAATAATGTGAATATCTGCATATGATATGAACAAAAAAAGCTCTTTGATGTGTTCTTGATTTTGATGTTATATATGTATTTAAGCAGATATTTTGATTGTCATTTTATTCAAAGAATCATTTCAAAGAATTTTAGTTAGTGAATTGTCAGAGGAACTTTTAAGAAAAATCCTAATAGAAAATATGTGAGAAGTGAGATGACATTCCTTCTTTCAACCTGTCATAGAAAGAAAACTCTGCCATAGTCATGAGAATCTGCTCCTTGAATTTTCAGTATATTTGTTCATGTTTAGCCAGATTTGCCCATACCAATTTCCCATGGCACAGGAATATACCCTCTTAAATGGAAGACCCTCCATTTGCTAATCTGGGTGTGGCAAAGGGAGTTACACTCATTTCCTACATGAATCTGCAGGTAACTTTCTACTTAGGCCTTATGCCTCCATACTTGAATTGAGCAGCATAAAGATATGAAAGTAACATTGAGCTTTCTGGCCTCAATTGTTATTTCTTTTGCTATAACCCATAAGAAAAAGACCCAGCAATATATCACATCTTCACTGGTTCAGAATAACTGGGGAAAGCAAGTAAATTCTTGAAAAGTTTTTTCTTAGAAAATGTCTTGAAATAAATTTGACTTTTTTCCAGTACAAATTAGTTAATGTACCAATGGGCTCTAATAAATGAGGTGAGGGACAACAGGTCAAGTATCAGGAAGAGGTACTTGGCAGTGGGAATTTCCATATCAGAAGTTACCTACCACAATGAAATCGTACATAGAGATAAAAACAAATAAATGAGGTACTTTAAAAGCCATTTAAAAGTAGACCTAGATTATATAGTGATTCACAGTTAGATAGGATCATAGGACTTATAAAATGCTTTCCTCACAGTCTTGTGAAGTAGTATAAACATTACATTTCTAATTTACAGATGAGAAAACTGAAACACAGATCAGTTAAGGGTCTTGCCTATATTCACACAACTTGTCACTATTGGTGATGGAACTCAAACTCATGTCTCCTGACTCCCAAACCAGTATTGTTTCTGCTGTTCTGTATTTCCTCTCTTGAAAATTCTTTACCATATGACAAATAATTACTAGACATAGAAGTTGTCTCATATTGAAGCAACCTGTAATTTCTTAAATCCTTTGTTTGGAAGAAGCCCTTTTTGCCCCAGGCCAAATCAGTCTGCATACATGTTTTGGATAGGCTAAATTTTATACATGCTCAATAATACATTATTTCTTTTGGGCAAAAATTGTGTAGTTTGCATAATTGTTATGCAAGATCAGTAATTTTGTGCATTACTTTCTACTTCTTCCATATAACATGGTATCTAGTAAATTGTCCAAAATAATAAAAAAATGACTAATTAAATGCTGGGCAAATTGTAAAGAAATGGTCATACTCCTACATTGTCAATGGATTTGCAGATTTGTGGAATCTTTTTTCGTAGTATTCCAGCTTACAAAATTAATCATACCGTTTGATCTTATAATCCCAGTATTGAGAATGTATCCTAATGGCATTATCCCAAAAAAAAGTGTGTGTGGGGGAGTGGGCTGGTGAAGAACCATTTAACGATAATTAAATCAGCATTATTTGTAATGGTAAAAAACTAGGAACAACTAAAAGTATCTAATTGTTTGGTAATGGGTGAGCTAACTGGTATATCAGTGTGACCAAATGGAATGTAATAAAGAATGACGAGTATGAGGACCAAAAATAGGGAAGCAATTATGTGAAATAACTTCAAGGGAAAAAAAAAAGAACCTCAAAAATGTTTATATACTATGAGTGTACAAAAGGAAAAAATGCACAGAAACTTAGGACCGAATGGATAAAGGAAGAGAACAGAGGTAGGAATAACTGATAGGTTGTTAAAGTGTTATTTGCATGTTGACTTTTAAAATTGGAACTAATTTTAGATGCGAATTTATTGCGTTTTTTGTTGTTTGAAGTTAAGTTCCAGATAAATTATTGTGTAAAACGGTGGTCTCCAAACCCTGTAAAACTTGAGGAAAAAATATAATTTGTCCGGTTAAGGTCATCACAGAGATGGCTTCTATTCTTTTATCCATATTCTCACTACTTTTAAAAAATAGGCAATCCCAGTGAATGCCAAGACCAGTTCTCAATAGTTGGTTAGTTTGGTAATTCATATGAAAGCTTTTTGTCTGAAATTTCCCAGTGTACTGAGGGAAGCATGGGTTTTGTTTGCTGTAATGAGCATCTGAAGTGGTGTCACTGAAAGATCTCCTTTCCCCTTCAGTTAGGGCAATATAGATAGACCTGATAAAACTTCCTTTGAAAGGTCAAGTGCCAGTTTTTGTGAAAACCACAGAGCTGCCAAATCCATCCCAAGAAATTTCACTTGGTTTTAATATCAGGTTTTGAGAGCAGGGGAGAAAGGGTGGCAGAATCACTGATGTTGAAAAATGGAAAACCCCTTTAATAGAAATTACTTGACTTTTAGAAAAAATAAAGTAAGTTCCTATTTTAGAGTAATAAAGAATGATGAGAAATTCTCTGTAAGCTCCAGTGCTCTTTGATTCAATATCTTCTACTGGTGCCTTTATGGCAAATGTCATGATTGCAGAGTTATTAAACTATGTAATACTAGCCAATGTTAGTAAAAATTAAATTCCAAAAGGAGAAGAGAATTTAATTTGATATGACTTAAATGTTACAAAATTAGTACACAATGAACTTTGCTGCTAAATTAGTTTTTAACAAACTTTTTGAAATTACTCATGTGTTTGTCTTTCGAATAAATATATTGCACTGCTTAAAAAATAACTGTCCATTTCAAAATGTCTCTTTTGCTGCTAACCTAGGATTTTGCTCTTGAAGTTATTGAATCTACCCACAAATGCTGGAAAGCTTTGCTTCATAAAAAGGCTGATGGAGGAGATATAAATTGGTAAGAATGTGGTCTAATTGAGTTATATTTTATATTACTTGTCTTCTTATTCAGCACATGATGGTTATAAACCCTCCTTCTCCTGTTATTTAAAGGTCTTACATGCCTATGATATTTTTTCTTTAAAAAGCATCTCAACATTCAGTCAGTTTTTATAATAATGACATCAAGCCTTTTCTTGACAAATAATATAGAATAATTGACAAGTGTATGTTCACTTCTGGTGAACTTTTATCTGAGGATAATAATTGCAACAGTGTTTTTAGGGGAAAAAATGGAACCAGATTTTCAAACAAATGAATCTCTTTCAGAAAACAAAATTTAGCTTTTTTTTGTCCTTTTAGGTAGTGACACTTTCAGTATGTTTAAGTGCAGTGGTCAGGATTATGGCAAAGCATTCATTTACTTACCTAAACACGGCCTTCCTTTATTATTAGCAAAATCCCGTGAGAAGCATTAGAGGATGCTAAATGCACAGAAGGAGGTTTCTAAAAGTAACTCTAATCCTAACCCAAGTGAATGTTAGCAGCTCGAGGGCAGGCACGTTTGGTTTGACCTCCTCTGTACCTGACACATAGCAAGAGCTCCTAAGTGAGTGTTGACTTGGTCATATCATGGAGTCATATGAATTAGAGCCCTTTAATAGGCTTTAAAGACCGTCTCGTCCACGCCTCTTCTGTTTCACAGCGAAGTTCAAGTGACCTGGGCAAAGCCACATGGGGGGGAAGGGACAGCAGCAGGCTTGGTGCGCTGGCCCTCCACTCCAGAACCAGCCGAATTGTGCCTCACCAAGGCTACAGTTACTCTACCGTCTGGATTCAAGATTATCCTCTTCATGATAAATGAGTGCATGGGTAAATAAAATACACTGAGTTAAAACAATAGGATTGCATTTGTCACTGACCATGGAATGTGCTAAAGCGTTTTCTGTGAAGGTCGTCAGCTCCGCGTGTTGTGGAGCCTGTGCCAGGAGGGGCTATCTGTTCTCCCCTCTGACCATTCTCAGCTCTCAGCCTGCAGATTTGGAGAGAGACAGTGCAGCCTCCTTTGAAAACCTGTCGTGATGTCAGCCAATTCTGGTTGTCAGGAAATTCTTCCTTAGAAATCACGTACATCTCTTGTGCTACATTTAAGCTTGTTTATTCCCAGTTTCCTTTTTTCAGTTATTAATGGTGACAAAGCATCGCTGTATAAAGAGCCTTTCACATACTAGATGAGTGGAGACCAAGTTTAGTGCCCTTTTCAAATGCTGTTCCTGAAGAACTTAGAACATGGGGCACACGTGTATGTTATAAAGTGTCTTTGCAACCTTGCCTCAAAGAGATATGCTGAAATTTTAACTCTGCTCAGCTATTCTGCTTTATAATTTCATGCTTCATTGGAAGGTTTGTAGTTATGCAGACTCTTTGGAGTCGGTCTCTTTTGTTTGGTCATTTCATTCATTATTTTCCTTGTTTAATATCCACATTTTTATATTTCAGTGTTAATGTGCAGGTACACGACAGCCCTTTCTGCTGCAGTAAAGAAGAGGCCAGATGCATAGTGCAGTCGGTAAGAGATAGCCGTGTTAGGTGTATTTTAGCCTGTTATATATCATGTGGGAGGAATGCAGAGGTTCTGAAAATCAGCAGTGAACTGAGATGAAATGCATAAAAAGCCAGGCTTTTTCTAAGGCATGAGTTTAAAAAATAGCATTGAGATCTACTGAAAAAAAAAAAATCCACGGAACAATAATCAGATAACCCCCAAACCCCTTCGGTGGAGTTTTAATTGTATTTTCCTGAAGGCTCATTAGCTTTTAGTTGATTTTCTATGATACTGTTTCTCTTAATACCAGGTAGCAAGACGAATTGTTATTTGTGTGTACTACACTCTCTTCTCTGATGCTGTGTTGCTATGAGTTACCATTCAATGCTAGGGCTGAGTCTGGCTGCCTGTACTATCTAATCACCAGGGCTGAGCCATTATTTTCTCTTATTATTTTGGAATTGTGTATTACAAATTTATTTTGGTGTAAAAAAAGTGAAATATTTTTAAATTTTATTTTTTTTTCTTTAACAAAGGCCATTTGTCTCCTATTTGGGTAAAATTCAGATCACAAATTTCTTTTGCAGGCTTTTAAGATTGTCTTGGATTTCTTTATTTCCTGCTGAAATACTGTCCATGGAGAAGTTCATTTATTATTAATTTAAAGTTTTCTATCTGGAGGATACTCAGCAAGCAGATTAATGTTCAGATAACCAACCTATATCATGGCAAAATTAGATGTTTCCTTTTTATATTTTTAAAAGTATGTTTATAGGAGATAAATAGAAAAATTTTAGGGCTGGAGATCCCACATGTAAATTTAAAAATTTCTAAAAACTTTAAATACTTCACGAAAGTCTTAATCCTATGCTTTATCATGGAATCCAGGTGCCCATGGTTTCTTGAAGACTATGTTAATGGTACATAAGCTGTTAGATTTTTCTAGGCTGAAAAAAGAGGGTGACAATCATGGATAGTGCCTTCTTACTGTTAGCGTGACCCTGAGCAAGTCCTTTGACCTTTTTCAGCCTCAATTTCCTAATCTGTAAAATGGGGAATCATAAGAACACCTCCATCCTAGGGTTGTTATAAGGATCAGAGGACATGACCTAGGTAAGGCATTTGTCTGTGAGGAATCGTTTGGTTGTGTCAGCCTGTGAAATGGAGAAAAATATAAGTGGTCCTCATTCTGTGCTGCTGGCGATAATCCCAAGAAAGGGGAGTTGAGGGTGATTAATAATAATAATAATAATAATAATAATAGTAACATTAATAAGCTGGTCTGTCGTGTCTGACTCTTTGTGACCCCATTTGGGGTTTTCTTCGCGGAGATACTGGAATGGTTTGCCATTTCCTTCTCTAGCTCATTTTACAGATGAGGCAACTGAGGCAAACAGGGTGAAGTGACTTGCCCAGGTTACGCAGCAAGTAAGTGTCTGAGGTTGGTTTTGAACTCAGCCCTCTACATCTAGACTCTACTAAACTCAGGCCCTCCTGATTGCAGGTCCGGCACTTTGTCTACTGCACCGCCTACTAAGTGTCTGAGGCTGCATTTGAACTCAGGAAGATGAGTCTTCCTGACTCCAGGCCTGGTGCTCTATCCACTGTGCCACTTAGCTGCCTACTTTACCGTTTGTCAAGGGCTTTATATATATTATCTCATTTGATCCTCACAACAACCCTATGAGGCAGGTGCTATTAATACCTCCATATTACAGAAGAAGAAACTGAGTCTGAGGTAGGTCAGGCAACTTGTTCAGAGTCATATCGCTAGGAAGTGCCTGAGGCAGGATTTGGACTCACTCTGTCCACTGCACCACTTAGCTGCCTAGGAAGCACACTATTCTAAAAAATAAGATCGTTAAAAGTTGAAAAGTAATAACTTTGGTAAATGCCCTCCGGGACAGAATATGGAGCTACCTGTACAAGTGATTTGGACGTATCTTCATCTCGTATATCAGTTCCACAACTTCAAAATTTGGTGCATTGAGCTGTCCTGCAGCATCAGTGTTTTTAATCCCATAGTAGCCCTTCCCATTTCATCTCTTTAATATTGAGATGTTTGAAGGAACTTTATCTGGTTCTTCCTTGTTTCCCATATATTGTACTTTTTGTTATCATAGAAGTACCTTTGTGTTTAATGTGTCCGATGGTTTCCCAGTACAACTTAAGATGTTTACATTATGCATCAAGCCTTCCTGGGTTCCATTTGGTACTATGCCCATATGGAAACAATAAATGCTAAGCCTTACTGGGTGCTTGCTTGGCCCAGAAGAAGTAAATTCTCATTCACCAATAGTACCTACTTCCCAGTTATACCATCAGGGCACTGATCTGGGAATGTCCTCTGAGGCGGGGGATATGCATGAGGCAGCTGGGTGGTAGGACCGGGAGATTTCATCTCCACAACTTGGCAGGACCAGAATGAGATGTGGAGGTTTTTTTGATAAGGAAAATTACTGCTTTCTAGAAGATGTTATTTTAGAACCCACAACGAAAGGAAACATCCTGGACTTGGTACTGAATAGGCGAACAGGAACTGATCCAGGAAGTATCTGTGGGTGAACCACCATGCAATACTGATCATAACACAATTAGGCTTCACATTCTTTTAGGAATGGGAGAACCAGAAGAAATCCAACATGTGGTTTCCTAATTTTAGAGAAAGGAATTACAACAATGTGGTTTGTTAGGAAAATAGTTTGTGCTACCATAGCTGTAAAGGCAGCGAAATGCGAAGTACTATCAAGACGGCATTTGGAAATGGCAGAACGTGTTACGCTGCCTCGGTTGGCCTCTTGTAGCTCTTTCCAACCCGGGCCCTTTCTTCCTCCTTTGCTAGTTATCTGACTTTCTCCCCATACACGCTGATCTGGTAACCCTGACCTTCTTGCCCTTCCGTCTCTCAGGCCTGGACGTTTTCACTGACCCCCTTAGAGCCCTTCCTTCATTGATTATCTCCAATTTGTCCCTCATTAGACTGTGAGTTCTGAAAGGATGGGGGACTGTTTTTGCTTATCTTCACATCTTCAGTGTTTTAGCACAATGCCCGGCACATAGTTGGTGCTTAATAAATGCTGATTGACTAGACTTTTTGCCCTTGGAAAAAGTCATGGTACCTCAGTGTGTGGAATCCTTCCTGGCGTTTCTTGATCTTGGGAGAAACTAGCCATCTGGAGGCATCTCAGAGGAGAGTATTATCCCAAGGAGAAGAAGAGGAATCACCTACATGTACGCTGGGCTTTGCAGCTACAAAGTGTTTTACGTGTAAGGATAGGTGACTGAACTGTAGAAATTTATGAAAGGAAACAAAAATAGGAAACGGAAACGAATGGCTAGAGCGACCAGTCTTTGCACATAGTAAGTACTTAATGAATTCTTGTAGAGTGGATGTTTGCCAAATCCAAGGATGCTTTAAACTGGGTGACAGAATAGAACCACTCTATATGGGTCTGGGGTCCAGGATATAATCCTTGACCAATAGCAACAGCATTTGCTTTGTAAATGGGATGTGTATGTCAGACTCTTCACCTTAACTTCAGCTGTTCTAATACCCTCCTAATTGGTCTCTCTGTCACCAGCCCTCTCTCCCATCCATCCTCTACATTACCTCCAGCATAAAGTCCCTAAGGCTCAGATCTGATCCTGCTGTTCCCCCTATTCAGTAAACTTCCATGGCTCCCTATTACAAAAATGCCATTTGTAAATCATCAGGCATTTCAAGCTCATCGTAGTCTTTCTCTGACCTTTCTCTTTAGTCTTATTCCACTTCATTTCCCTTAGCCAAACTGGACTGCTTGAAGTTTCTCAGACTTGATGTACTGTATCCTTTCCCTGCACTCGCTAAGCTGTTCCCCATGCGTGGAATGATCTTCAACATCTCGCCCTTCCTAATCCTTATCTTCTTTCCAGGCTCAGCTCAGGGTCCTTTCTGCTATGAAGCCTTCCCTGATCCCCCTACTTAGTAATTTTCTTTCCTAGAACATTTTATCTGATATTTTCTTTGCCCTTTCACCCCACAAGCTGTATTTGACTCATCTGTATTCATATCGTTTACCCTTCCCACCCCAATATGTGCTGCCTGAAAAGCAAGGACCATTTTGTTTTTGCCTTAAGAAATATTTTCCGATTGAGCAAATGAATGAATCGGCTCAGTCACCAACCACATTTCTTTGGATGGGCTCTGTAGGTTTGGGGGACCTCTGCCTGGTTCTGTAGCAGATAAACAGTAGCTCATCCACATTCACTTGTTATTTTTACATCCCAATTGGAATTGTATTGTCTTATAACATTTACTTGGGAGCAAAGAACCAAGATATCTGGGAGCCTGTATAATGTAGCAGATAAACAGTAGCTCATTCACATTCACTTGTTATTTTTACATCCCAATTGGAATTGTATTGTCTTATAACATTTACTTGGGAGCAAAGAACCAAGATATCTGGGAGCCTGTATAATGTAGTGGAAAGAAGATTGGCTTTAAAGTCAGAAGGCTTGGGTTCAAATACTCCCAATGCCACTTACTATTAGTGTGATCTTAGGCCAGTCATTACCCTTGAGTCTCAGTTTCTTCCTCTTTAAAATGAAGAAGTTGTTCTGGATGGACACTGAGCTCCTTCCTATCTCTTCCTATCTCTTTAGGACCCCTGTATATCTAGTACGGGATTTGCTCTCCTAATCTGACGTGAATTACTTGGTTAGTTGGTATTTTCTTTGGTTCTCTTCCCTTAGGATTCTGTCCTTCAGATTTTTTTTTCCTGTATTTTATTTATAATTTAGAATATATATGCACAAATTTGTGGGTCCAGTGATGGACTGATGTTCGGATTTTTCAGAAAGTATTCTTACCAGTTCTAAACATTTGCCAGCTTCATTATTATTCTTCAGCCTTCTTGTAAAGTAAAATCACATTTTATCCCCCTTTATCCTCTCTTACAGATAGAAGTTTTCCCTTTTCAACTAACACCATTATGGTTCTGTATAACAGAAAGCCCATCCTAGTTCTACTCTACTAATGTGGTTCC